ATGGATGGATGGATTTCTGCTCTGATGACCGCTCATCTCCAGTCCAGTGTGACAGTCAACACTGCAGCTCTGCTTCCTCTTTGTTACTCCTTCTGGATTCCTTTTCTTTCATTAAACAGTTAAAACTACTATTTTTGTTCAATCTCATTTTTGACAGTCGTGACAGTCATCATGTGCAGAACAAACACATGGGCAAATATTTTCCATGTTTAGTCAAATACTCTCTGTTTGACAGGTTTGGATATGAGAATGATTAACTGATAGCACCACAGGCCTCAGTCTGAAAAGCTGCTTTTACGAGAGGAGGAATGTCAACCCTGGTCGGCCGGGTAGGGAGAGGCAGGAAACCACCGCTCTTGGTTTACACATGACTCATTCCTTGTTATTAATGTGGCCGATGCTAAATTTTGTGCCAAAAACCCAGCCAGGCTGCAAAGATCGGTTGTATTTGTCTGTATCATGCATGTCTGAGGACTCACAGTGTGTGCAATGGTGTTGGCATATGTGTCGGCAATCCAGGACATTTCCCTCTCTCCTGTGCTCATGTCTGGAGCAGGGACGTCGATGCCAGGCCCTGGTGAACAAACACGGGTGGGAGAGGAAGGGAGGGTAGAAACAGGAAAGTTTTAGTCAAGTGGGCCAGTCACTGTGCAGGACGGTTCACAAGCACATACTTCACCAACGAGAAAGTCAACACAGCGAGTTTAACACCACAAACTAAGCTTTATTCTGCACAACTGGGTATCTAAGCTGGTTCCAGAAGGTTGAAGCAACACTGTTCCATTGAACATAAAGACTCCACTGGCAGAGGAAATGTGAGCACCGGGTTTGTGTCCTTGTGTCACATAGACATGTACCCCCACGGGCCTCTGGTCCAAAAACAGAAGCAGGCATGCAGAGAGGTGGGGTTGGAAGCGAGAGAGAGAGAAAAGGATGACCGAGTCTCTCAATAAACAGAGCGGGCCGCTGACGTAGGCAGCGAGGACTGCTTCACCTCCAGGGCGTATAAAAAGCTCAGTCCTGAAGGATAAAAGCTCACCACATGACACAACTATTGCTGCCTATTCGTACACAGCATCAAATCTCTCTGGTGTGTTTGAACTTAACACACCATAAGCATGGACATGCATCTGGATAAGGGTGAACGCTGGCTGGCTGTATAGGGGCTGTCAACCTGCTGGACCAGTATAAAATGTTTATGTGTGGCCCATCAGAGGAATAGTACAGCTTCCTTCAAAAACGTATTGAAATAATTAAGTGACATTCAAACTAGATGACATCACCTTAAATAAAAGATCTCCCCCCACAGTAACACGTGTGCATGTTGCTTTGTGTTGACCTGTTCATCTGTTGCAGCACTATTCCCTGTGGGAGTCTAAAATAACTTAGAACAAATGTATATGCAGCCAGTGGTAGAAAAAAAATACAAGTTTACTCAAGTATTGCATGCAAGTAAAGCTTGTACTACATCGTAGTTCAGAAGCAAACATCATGTCTTTCACTCTGCTATGTGTATTTAATAACCAATTAAGATCAGTAATACATCATAATTTGTCCGTTGTGTATTTGTGTAGAAGGATTTACAAGCTACCCATCAGTGTATAAAAGTCATGAAGCCCAAACTTTTGCAGCTCCAACGATAAAAGACGACTAAATAATAAACACTACTAAAACATATTACTGTTACTGGCTACTACGAAATAAAGAGTACTTTCACTTTTCTTACATCAAACTGATTTTGATACTTCAATCCTTCTACTTAAGTACAATTTTAAACTTGTAACGGAGCATTACTGTACTGTGGTATGGTTATTTTAACTTAAATGAAATATTTGAGTACTTTTTTCATACATTAGATATGTTACAGAAAGCTTTTATTTCTGGTTTGTCAGCTTCAGCTTCATGTTGAACCTTTACACCAGTCCCCTTTGTCCTTTTCCATCATCGCTAACTGTCTCCCTCTTCACAGACACACCCAGAGCGACCCCAACCTGAACAAACAGTGTTAAGTGATGAGAAATGTTTGCTTCTATTAGTGGAAATATTCACCGCTCTCCACTACAGTCCTTTTAAGGAAGTCAGAGAAACACAAGTAAACTTTTGAGGAGCACAACTTGGTGCCAAGTAATGCCCTAAACACCAAACAATGTGCAGAATGATGACTTGGAAAAACATTTTTTTTTGCAGAAACTCACCAATGAAACCCTTCTTGGCCAGCTCAATAGTGAATCTCCTGGTGATCTTCTCCAGCTCATTGTCCTGCAACAGAGCGTAGACTTGTTCACTATTTATTAACAGATCGTGAGAGATTATAATGTGTGGCACCATCAGTTAACAGGAACAATAAAAACCGCATGTCTTAGCTGATTGGCACTGCAGTTCCGTTACTCTAAATGAAAACCCAAACCACAGAATGTCTGTTTCAGCACTTATGTCTCCTATTCTCTCTTTTCTCAGTTCTGTCCTCTTTAAATGTTCTCTCTCTTCACTTAGTTTCTGAACCAACAAATAAAAATGAAATGTCTTTTGCTTTCTAATGTGACAGATCATCCTCTGTGTTTGTTTCGATATGATAAACTAATATCCCTCCAACTGACTGACGCCTTCCTTGTGAGTATAAAATGCTCATCTTAGGCTCTCCTCAGCACTCATGTAAACATGTCTGCATATCTCTACATGTGCATGTGAACGTGGAAGAGCCGGATTGACATTAGAAGGCTTACAGAGTAATTCCTGGGGTTGATCTTGACTCCAGCTTTAGCTCCCCCAAATGGCACATCTGGAAGAGAATAACACAGATTTAAAACCACACACACATGACACCGAGACACACACATCTGGATAAAGACTTCATGGTGTGTGATCAGGAGGAAAAGAAGCGAGACAAAAGAGGAGTCCTGGCAAAGTAGTCACAATCAAACAGTACTATTACGGATGGTGAGATCTGGGGATAAACGGCAAGAGGCTTTGTGCGAGGCTTTAATACTCACCAACGACGGCGCACTTGTAGGTCATCAGAGAGGCCAGAGCTTTCACCTCATCCACAGACACATCTGTACTGTAACGGATACCTGAGGGAAACACACAGTGATTCAGAACCCAGCTTCCACACAAAGAAAAACTAGAAACAAGCTAAACGTATAAAAGATTTGCGGCCTGTTAAGACACACAATGTAATATTTTTATTAGGTAGTTTCTGACTGCAAGTGCTTTATACATTCAAAGCTGATGTTCAGACCATAACGAAGGGAAACACTTGTCTTTTGCTCAAACTGTCTCCACAGCTCAGCAACAGGAAAAGGAAATGTATAGCAGAGACAGAGCACAGCGAAAACCTGGACTGCACTAATGATTACTGAATGTTCTCCCAAACTACACAACACCACATGGTCACAGATCGCTAACGGAGTCTGGCAGTCAAGGTAACAGGAGTGGGCGGGCGGAGACCGAACGATCCAATCAAAGCCCTCCGTTCTGACCTCAGCCCTCGAGCTGCGGCGGTACCTTTCCTGTTGTCTGGCGTTTACTACCGTTGCCACAGCAACATGTGCGGCGTTACAGGATACCATGCAGGCGGGCCGCACAAGTCGCACTGCTCTGTCTTCGTTGGCATAGTGCGTGTGACTGAGATGCAACGGCAAAAATAGCACATCCAGACTTAGCTTTCACAGAGGAACCCAAGGGCAAACGGCACAAAGAGGAGCCTGCAGGTTGATTTATGAGGAGAAAAGCCGTGCGTCTGTGTTTATTTGTGTGCATTCAAGTGTAAGAAAAAAAAACACAGGAAACACCAGCAAAAAGCCCACCCACCACAACGACGTCATTCTGTGTCCTCTTACTACTGCTGGTGTTGTCGCAGCATCCCCACACTGTCACCGCTGCAGTCGTTAAACTGACAAGGAAAAGATCAGACATCCCCCAAAAAGAGCCCCACGCTGCAGAGTATTTCCCTCCTTACTCATTTCCATTCATCCAAACATCGGCTGAGTCACTTCAGGCCAGCGGAGGACAATCTTGAGCTCACTCATCAAATTATAGGAAAGAAAAGCCCGACTGCAAAACCATCCCCCACTCAATGATCCTTTTATCCACCCAACCAGCAGCCCACTACGGCAACAAGAACCAAAGCAGAACTGTAAACATATTCCTCTGAAATGGAGGAAAGAAGAAAAAAAAAATGGAGTTTCTGCAGCAGTCGGAGCAAGTTAACTTCTACAGTCAGGCCTGCAGGCTCAACATGAGGAATCACAAGGGCCTCTCCAGTTTATGTAGTCTAACATTTAAACAGCTAAGACTGTTCTTACACACACATTCTGGGCTTTTGCTTGACAGTGTGTTTGGTTTATTCAGTGCAGCTTCTCTACTGTACACGTAGCCTTTCTAAAGTGTGGTATTTAATCATCCTGAATATTATCTGTGCTATAAGAAGCTGCACTAATTGTCGTGGCATCGATTTTCTCCTGAAGTGCACGTTTGAAATTAGGCTGATTCACTTTGAGTGCTGGTCATTCCTTCGAGACATCAGGACGCTGAATGTGTTCACTGAAGCGGATGTAGTTATTTGCAGGATATTGCGTTCTAGGTGTAATAATTGACAAGAGGGATTAGCGTTTCAAGAGGGATTAAGTTGCGAGAGCTTTGACGCTGCATTCAATTAAAAAAAAAAATATGAATTCAAGTAAAATCAGTTCTGATGGCTTCTAACTTTTACACAGGACACCTCTGCACTAGTGGTTTACATAAGCACACAGATTTGTTCTTCCTTTGCACAGAAAGCAGATGAATGTTGACTATTTAGCAGACCAAACAAAATGCGAGTGGCCTTCTGCGGTATGCAAGCAGCCGTGCATGCCCACACATACCACATCAGGCGCCTACACGCTCAGTAAAGAGCGGTGCGGTCCGGTCTGGCAGCTGTCATGAACACACAAAAACAGGCGTTGCACTTTGTAGTTTGATCTGAATACAGCCAAGGGTCTATGCACCGTATCAATGATTAAACCCATTGAGCGATAACGGCTCTGACTCCTATTCCAGCCCCATCATCCAGGATTTAGCACAAACGATCCATCACACTTGTTCATTGAGCAACTGCAAACAATATACTATCACCTAATCAAATCTAGGACAACTCTATATTTTACTATGTCTGATTTAAGATCTGATTCATATCCAAAGTTAGATGCAAAATACAGTTTAACTGCAGTGGGCAGGATGAGCAATGATTCCAAATGATGATTTATATTTTTTAATCTCTATTCTAATTTTCCATTTAATTTATATTTCTTAATAGCAGTTTCTGTGACAACGTGAGGGGAAAACATTTAGTAATGCTATCACTGCAAATGGCAGCTAATTCAAAATGATGCTCAGCTCACCTCACAAAATGGAAAGAGGCAATGAGATTCTCTTAATGCTTATTGATTTTACCTACACTGCCTCTGAGTGTTCCCTAGCAGAGAACTAGCTCGACAGTTTAGCAGCGCTACAAAATTCATAAATCGGTGCCATTACTGTAAATTGGTTTGTGGGGAAATCCGTAATGGAGATTTCATCTGGCCGCCATAAATGATGCTACTCTGACTCGGCTCATGAGACAAATCTAGTTTTTATTAAACCACTTCTCCTGTCCTTCAGAGCACAGGTTTAAAGTACAATGAGCACGTCCGGGGCAGAAATGTGCCTCCCAAGAATAGGTCTACATTCACAGCATCAAGCAGGTGCAGGGGAAGGGTTTCACAGTGTTAATGACAGGCCAATGTCCGCTGCACACCACTGAAACATGCCCTTTGACTGGCGAGCAAACCAAATGGCAAGTCTCTTCCTACTGAGAATGCCTCTCCTCCATCGCACCCTCCCCCACCTGTCACACTGCTGACAAATAGGAGGGCCTGGAGGCACAACCACCCCCTCCCCAACTTTCACGCCTCCTGTCTTCCTATACATCATATCCCCCTATCTATCCCATAGTGCACTGCAGCGATAGCCTCTGATGCCTCTGCTTTGCTTTGAACCTTGAACTTTGAGCCAAAGAGCACATGTCACTCATGTCATAGTATATCCACTTCTGCACAAGGCCCACCTATAATAGGACCACTTGTCTGTGTATATTTGCTCTGCTTTAGGCTCTTGATTGTGTGTATGAAGCTCCTGACAAAGCAGTGCAGGAGCCACAGGTACTGAACAGGCAGCCATGTGTTTTGTGCAGCACATGCAGAGATGCCATGGCCTGAGAGGTTCAATGACATGACACCTGACACCTCTCTATCACATCAAACAACACTTAGCATGTGAGCAGCCTAGAAATAAACTGGGACTTCCAACCAGCTGTGGATCACTGGATTATTGTTGTCTGTATATTTCGTGACGGTAGACGTTGTAGGTGAATAATAACATTAGCTTGAAGCAGGAGTGTGCACAGAGCATGTGTGCTGCTGCAGTCTGGCTGCTAGCCTGCTAGCTAACAAACTGCGGTACCGTTACAGCCACAGGTGAGCAGGAAGGTCACTGTAAACTGAACATGACAGCAGCGGGTAGTTTGCATATTCAGGAAAACAAACGGAGCAAATAGGCCGCTATTATGTTAAACAACAATGAGGCTAACTGTGCTGTTAGCAGACGATAAAACCAGCGGATCTGGGTGTGATGGTGAAGCAGCTGTTGACAGCAGCTGCTCAGTGTTTGGTGCTTTTAATAAGCTAACGTTTCTGCTAAGTAATGCTAAGTAGCTGGCTAACGCTAACTGTCAGAGCGGCCAGAGGAGCCGGCTGGACTCGGCTCTCACCTCCTTTGCAGGGCGTCCTGTGCTGGCTGTGCTGGGCGCGGTAGCCCTCCACCACCTCCCACTCTCCGTTATCCCTCTTGATGGGGAAAGACACGCTCAGGACGTGATTGCACGGCTTGATGATGCGCAGGATGCCCCGCACACGGTTCCTCTTCTGCTCGGGGCTCTCCCTGGTCCTCAGGTCCTCCACCAGCTTGTCCTCCACGATGGAGGCGCCCCGGTCGAAGAAGCCCTCGACCATCCTGAAGAAGTTGGGGTCGTCGGGTTGGTCCGCTGCGCCGGCATAGCGACGGACCCGCATCAGGGACGAGGACGCCGGAAGAGCGGAGTCCACGCACCCCGAGGCCAGGGCACTGCCCGCAGAGCGGCTCAGCAGCTCCCCGAAATACCGATACATGACTGGGACTAGCTAACCGTGTAACGGAACGAATAAAGAGGCAACTAAACAACAAGGACGATGGGGGTGACGACAGGAGAGGGGGTAAATGAGCGACACAGCAGCTCCTCACCGTGTCCCGTCCTCTGGCCGAGTGGGGAATGGCATCCTGCGTCCGCTTGCTTTAAAAGGCAGCGCGAGCCAAGCGGAGCAGCGGGGGCTCCTCGAGACGCACGCGGAAGAGGAGGACCGACGCAAGGCACGGGGCCGCGCGAGGCAATTGACAGCGCGCGCTCCCGAGTCTGCGCCGTTGTTGTTTTTGACAGAAAGTGAAAAGAAAAGGGAATTAACAGGCTGTAAATTAATTTATTTTTACTGTATTGAAGGAGGATTTTATGCCTGATGGTTACACCTCAACTGTAATAGCTAAAGCTGGTTAGTAATCAAGGGTGGGATGTAACGAAGTACTTTTACTCGACTACTCTACCTACTAAGTCAGAATCCGATGCATTTGAATATTTCCAATTTTTGCAAGTTGATCCACTATGTTTCATAGGAAACTGTTGTACTTTTGACTTTGATGTGTTTATTATCATATTAATATTTATGTGGTAAATATAGTTAGTTATTAATAATATTAATAATACCAAATATATTACACAAATAGATTGTGATGTATTGTTGTGGGTTAAGAAAATGTCATTCTAAATTGCTGCTACCCAGCACTATTCAAAGTCAGTAAAATGAGTATCACCTTACCAAGGCACAACTATAAATATAAAAACATCATAGTATGTATACAGTTGAAACATAGGCTGTATGACAAGACAAACAGCCTTTTTTTCTCACTGTCTGACATTAAATCAGACTAAACCTTTCCAGTTTTAGGTCAGTCAGGATTACCAAAATTATATCTATTTGCTAAACTCCAGAATAATGTGAGAGATAATTTTTTATTACTTTCTTCCCAGTCAGAAGTTTACATCCACTAAGATGCCTTCAAACTATCTGGGAAAGCCAACAGATGATGTCATGGCTTTGGAAGCTTCTGATTGGTTAATTGACAACATCTGACTTAATTGGAGGCACACCTCAAACACGCTGCTTCTTTTTGTGACAACATGGGAATATCTAAAGACATCAGTCAAGACATCAGGAAGAGAACTGTGGACCTCCACCAGTCTGGTTCATCCAGTTTCCAGATCCCTGAAGGTTCCACGTTCATCTGTTCAAACAATCACATCAAGTATAACCGCCATGGGAATGTCCAGCCATCATAGCGCTCAGGAAGGAGACAGGTTCTGTGTCCCAGAGATGAAGTGTTTTGGTTGAAATGTGTGAATCAACCCCAGAACAGAAGCTGAAGACCTTGTGAAGATGCTGCTGAAGCTGGTCAGAGAGTCATTATCCACAGTGGAACCAGTCCTGTACCGACATGGGCTGGAAGGCTGCTCAGAGAGGAAGAAGACT